ATACTCAGAGAAATCGTTGCTTACCAGATGACTCGGAGAGGTACTCGAGAAATACAACAGGAGATCAAAAGGTGATTCGTTCCCTCTAGTTGATTGTTTAAACGAATCAGAATATGTGAAAAATATTAAACAGTGAGTTTTTAATTCTAAATTTAAATGTTGAGCTTAGGATTAAATCTTTAGTAATTCGAGTATGCAAGATGATCGACGTTTTTCACTTAATCCGACAACGCCAGGGTGATGACACTCCCGAGATTAGCTCAAACGATTGTTGCCGCTCTGCAAATGAAATAAGTGCCGACATAACTGTAACAACAAATTTTATGAAAAACATAAAACTTTTGTACAACATGATTATATTTCGATCAAACGATATGCGGGTACAATCTCTATTTATCTCCTCTGATTCTTCTCTTCATTAATTTGGGCTTGAGACCTTGAAAGATGGATTTGATGATTGAACCTCCTTCGAGCTTGGTCTTGAATTTCTCTAACATTAACTCGGGGGTCGAATGACTTATTCCCGTTTTAAATGTTAGGCCTTGACTTGATTAAAGACAACTTCTTGGAGAACTTGTTTCTTTGATCTTCTGGAAAGAGAGACTTTGACTTGAATAACATTGACTCGAGGGCTTGATAGCTTTTTCTCGAATCAAACGCTATGTTGGTTGAACTTCTCAACGAATGGGGCTTGAATGTCGCTTGAACGTCATTGATATTCTTGGATTGACTTGAGAAGCGTGAAAGTCGTCTCTTTACTTCTTGTGGAAGAGTCGCCGCCTCTTTTTCTTCTTCTTGGTATTCTTCTTCATTGAACGGACCTGGGACGGTTCTTCAAGAACTTCTTCAAATCTTCAAGAGGATTCTTGAGAGCGCTTGAATTTGAGACTTTGATTTTTGAGATGTGTTTTGAGGTGTTTGAGGTGTGATTTGTGGGATGAGGAGAGCCCTATTTATAGGTGTAGGAGAGAGAGTCTTGGAAAAGAAGACGTCAATTTCATTGGTCCTTTTTGATTTGATATAATCTCTTTCCTTATCCTAAGATTTGATATAATCTCTTTCCTTATCCTAAGATTTGACTTGGTGGACAAGAAACAATTACTTTATTAATTAAATATCTTATTTATCTTGGATTTATGTCCCAAAATAAATAAAGACATCAATTAATAAAATATTAAAATTTTGATGTCTACAAATGCCCCATTGAGACTTGTTCACGGACAAAATGACTTGGTAATGAATGAGTCTCAAAATTTTGAATTTGGTTTGGACATGTAGATAGTTTGAACTCTTATCTAGGAGTTTTCGACTTGAATTTGTAGATAGTTTAAACTCGTATCAAGGAGTCTTGATTTGATTTGACAGATAGTTTATACTCGTATCAAGGAGTCTTGATTTGATTTGACAGATCGTTTATACTCGTATCAAGGAGTCTTCAATTTTATGAAATTTTATGCTCGTATCAAAGAGCCTTCAAATTCGTAGACATTTTATTCTCGTGTCAAGGAGCCTTCAAATTTTACATGTAGACCGTTTATTCTCGTGTCAATGAGATCTTGATATGTAGACATTTTATGCTCGTGTCAAGGAGCCTTCAAGTTTGATATGTAGACATTTTATTCTCGTGTCAAGGAGATCTTGATATGAAGACATTTTATGCTCGTGTCAAAGAGCCATAAGATAGTTTAGGCTCATATCAAGGAGCATATGTAGATAGTTTAAGCTCATATCAAGGAGCATTTGAATATGTAGAAAGTTTAGGCTCATATCAAGGAGCATTTGAATATTTAGATAGTTTAAGCTCATATCAAGGAGCATTTGAATTGGATATTTGGATAGTTTTGGCTCATATCGAGGAGCTTTATCGATAGTTTAGGCTCATATCAAGGAGCATTGTAGATAGATTAAGCTCGTATCAAGGAGCAACGAATTTTTAGATAGTTTAGGCTCATATCAAGGAGCATTTGAATATGTAGATAGTTTAGGCTCGTATCAAGGAGCATTTGAATATTTGATGGAGCAACTTTAAGATTGTGGAGTCTTGATTTTGGACATGTTTCATCAGTGACTCCATTGTTTTTGCCATGGTTGCAAGTTGCTCTTCAATGGTTGATGTGTTCGTCATCATAACATGTTCCTCTATTGAGAAAGGTGTTGATGAAGCATCGTCTCTCAAATCTTCCTCTTGGCTCATCAAAGGCGTCAGATTTTCCTCAACTTGGTGAGAATTTCCTTCCGGAGATACACTCTTGTTCTTTGCCATGCTTCTTGTTATGACACCAACACTTTCACTTGAAGAAGTTGACTTGGGAGGAGTCATCGTTGCATTTATTTATCTTGAAGAAAAGCGATGAGAGGTAGAGATGGTCCCACCGGGAGTGCCAAATTTGTAACAACAAATTTTATGAAAAACATAAAACTTTTGTACAACTTGATTATATTTCGATCAAACGGTATGCGGGTAAAATCTCTATTTATCTCCTCTGATTCTTCTCTTCATTAATTTGGGCTTGAGACCTTGAAAGATGGATTTGATGATTGAACCTCCTTCGGGCTTGGTCTTGAATTTCTCTAACATTAACTTCGGGGGTCGAATGACTTATTCCCGTATTAAATGTTAGGCCTTGACTTGATTAAAGACAACTTCTTGGAGAACTTGTTCTTTGATCTTCTGAAAAGAGAGACTTTGACTTGAATAATGTTGACTCGAGGGCTTGATAGCTTTCTCTCGAATCAAACGCTATGTTGGTTGAACTTCTCAACGAACGGGGCTTGAATGTCGCTTGAACGTCGTTGATATTCTTGGATTGACTTGAGAAGCGTGAAAGTCGTCTCTTTACTTCTTGTGGAAGAGTCGCCGCCTCTTTTTCTTCTTCTTGGCCTTCTTCTTCATTGAACGAACCTCGGACGGTTCTTCAAGAACTTCTTCAAATCTTCAAGAGGATTCTTGAGAGCGCTTGAATTTGAGACTTTGATTTTTGAGATGTGTTTTGAGGTGTTTGAGGTGTTTGAGGTGTGATTTGTGGGATTGAGGAGAGCCCTATTTATAAGTGTAGGAGAGAGAGTCTTGGAAAAGAAGACATCAATTTGATTGGTCCTTCTTGATTTGATATAATCTCTTTCCTTAGGACATCTCCAATGATAATAGTTATTACTAGCTATATGGTTAGCTGACGTGGATGTGAGAGATAAGAAAAATAACTATTTTACACTATTGGACTGTTACACAATGTGTGTTCTGAATTACAACGGGACCTATGAACTGACTGAAATGTTCAGTTCGTACAAGAAGAACTAAAAGAAGAAATGAAAGATACAACTCGAATGC